CCGAGAGAGAGATTTTTGCTCTTAAAATTAGGTCACTGATTTTTTTAATTTTGGAATTTTTTTATTCCTAAACCCAAAGTCTTAATATGTTAATTAAAATAAATTAAATTGCCTAACACGTATGAAAAATAAATAAATATATTTTATGGTAATTAAACTAATTTTTTTAGTATCAAATTTCTTCAATATTTTATTCCTTTTTTTCTTCAAAATTAATTTTTACTATTTTTTTTTTTTTTATGCTTTTTTTGTAAAAATCCCAAATTTTGAAACTAATTTTTTTTATTTGCGAATTAAATTTTTTTTTAAAACACGTAATATTTTTTAAATTTTATTTTATAAAATATATTTAAAAAATGCTATATTGAACCTTAGTCCCAAGACTTCCGGTTTTTAACTGAAATCCCTAAAACCTTCACCGATTCATCGACTGATCTGGTGCTTGGAACAATGAAATCAAATCAATATAAAACATAGAGAAAAAAATTATTAATAAAATCAACAATAACTTTTTTCATTTTTGTCTCTCTCCCTGAATAAAATATTAAATGTGTTTTTTTTTTTTTTAAAAAAAATATCCAATCAAAATCATACACTATAAATAGAAAAAAAAAGGAATATTAACAAAAAAAATTAATTAAACTTTTTTTTTTTATTTCTCTCTGAAAATAAAAATATTTAAATTATAATTTAAAAATATTAATCAAATAAGTTTTTAAAAAATAAAATATAAAAATTTTTTCCCAAATGGTCTCCTATCATATATACTTTTATTAAAGAATAATAAAATTTAAAAATTTTGAAATGCCTTAAATAATCTATATGATTTTGTAGAGTCTAAGATTAAAAAGACATAAATTTTTATGTAAAATATTCCCAATTGTTATGAAATTATAAGAATAGAAAGAATCGATAAAATAAGAAGAGAAGTGGAAGAGAAATTGAATTTTCTTGTATTTAGGATCTTAGTTTTGGCCCTAATCCAAAAAAGAATTAAGCAACCTATTTAATAGAATACAAAGAATATGAACCAAAAGAACAACAAACCTTTACACATTAAAAATTAATCTTTCAATCCCTAAAGATACAAACCTACAAAACTAAAGGACATAACTATTCAATCCTAAAAGATATAACCCTTTTATTCCACAAGGAACATAAACTTTTGAAGAAAGTATATATTTTTCTTTTATAAACTTAATGAATCTATTATATTATATAAAGCATTTATAACAAAACTCCCCTTGGATGCACATTAAAACCATAAAGAATATGCCTTGTTAAAAACTTATTAGGAAAAAAAACCCAGTGGGAAAGAAATCCAAGTGAAAGAAAAAGAGTACAATATCTTTGTGTCTTAAAAATTTATTTCTCGCCCCTGATTGCATTTAGAAAAATTTCAAGCTGACGCATACCTGATCCTTGTATACATTTTCTTGAATGTTGAAGTTGGTAGAAAACTTTGGTAAATAAATTTGGCCATATTGTCACTTAAAAACGAATCTTTTTGTATATTAATATCATCATTCTTTTAGAAGATCATATGTGGAAAAGAACTTTAGTGATATATGTTTTGTTCTATCCGCTTTTAATGAATCCTCACCTTTAATTGCTATACAAAGCTGCATTATCTTATATAACACTGTGGGTAAATTTTTGCAGAGATAAATCATATTTTTCTCGACTAAAATGAATCATGGATCTCAACCAAAATCATTCTCGACTCTTCATGACTAGTCTATGTATTTCTACATGATTTGCAAAACCAATAAATTTGGACTAGATTCATTCAAAAAAAAAAAAAAAAAAAACTCATATCAATTTGTCCCTTTTCCAAATATCTCAAAATATGCATTTGATCCCATTCCAGTGCCTTCGAGTAGGAGTAGAACTATTTCTATGCAAGTAAATTAACAGAAAAGTTATATCTGGTCTTCGTAGTATTGGCAAGATACGTTAATGCGCAACCAATTGCAGCTTAAT